GAAAAAAAATTAAACTATTAAGCTGTTAAGTTGATTTCAGTGGCTTGTTGTTTGTAGCCCCTTCTATAATGGAATTCTTCCATGGAACTGTCCGGTATGTTCATATAATCATCCTTAATTTACATATAATGTGAAATCATAAGAAGTATAGTGACTTCTTCTAAAGCACTGTGGTTTGCTGATTTTCTGGGATCTGTAAGTCAATGTGGCTTTTCTTTATGTTTTTTAAATCAAATTTTGGAAAATTTCAGCCATTATTTCTTGAAATATATTTTTCTCTGTCCCATTCTTACTCTCTTCTCCTTTGGGACTTTCAATTACATGTATATTGGGCTATCTGATGTTGACCCACAGGTTCCTGATGCACAGTTAATTTTCCTGCAGTCTTTTTTTCCTCTCAGTTCTTTCTTTGTTTTTTTCAAAGTTTTATTTATTTAAGTAATTGCTGTACCCAACATGAGGCTCAGACTCACCACCCCAAGATCCAGAGTTGCATACTCTTCTGACTAAGCCAGCCAGGCGCCCCGCTCTCTCAGTTCTTTAGATTGGATGATTTATATATATATGTTTTTAAAGATTTATTTATTTATTTATTTGACAGAGAGAGACACAGTGAGAGAGGGAACACAAGCAGAGGGGTGGAAGAGGGAGAAGCAGGCCTCCTGCTGAGCAGGGAGCCTGATGGCAGGGCTCCATCCCAGGGTCCTGGGATCATGACCTGAGCCGAAGGCAGACGCTTAACGACTGAGCCACCCAGCTGCCCCTGGATGATTTATATTGATGTCTTCAAGTTCACTGACTCTTCTCCTTTCTCTAATCTTCTTTTAAAAGCCCATCCATTTCTTTTTTTCAGTTCTGGAATTTCTTTTTTTTTTTTTTTTTTCTTAATAATTTCATTTTTCTGCTGAGATTCTCTGTGTATACCTTTCTATATACCATATATTTTAAAAGTAAAGTCTTTGAACATATTTCCCTTAAATTTTTAAAACATGTTTATACTAGTTGCTTTATTTCATCTGTTAATTCCAACATCTGGGCCATCTTGGGGTCAGTTTCTGGTGACTGCTTTCTGACTTGTATACTGGACATGGTGGATAGTATGTTAGAAAGATTTGAGTTCTGTTATCTTCATATGAGAAACGTTGATATGTTTTTTTTCTAATAATTCATTTACTGACATATCACCTACAGCTTGTTTAGGTTTGGTCTTATGCTTTGTTAGACTGTATCTGTGGAGAGCTTAAGGTGTTTCCCGAGTGTGTCTAATTTGGCAGGACTCTCACCTCCCAACCTCTGCCCCCTTCCCCATCTTGCAGGACTTATTTTAGGCCTCATTAGAGCAGATCTAGAGTAGATGTTACTCTCAGATATGGTTTTTACTCCCAGGGCTTGGTCTTTTGGGTATTTTAGCTGGATGCCCAAAGTGTTAATGAGGTATCTTATTGTTTCACCCCTGTGACTGACCAGAACTCCTAGGATTTCCATTGTCCTCAGCACTGTTTGACCTCTAGTTATCTCTGTTCCATTCTTTTTTTTTCTTTTAAGTTTTTATTTATTTGAGAGAGAGAGTGAGAGAGAGTACAAGCGGGGAAGAGGGAGAAGCAGGCTCCCTGTCAAGCAGGGAGCCTGATGGGGCTCGATCCCAGGACTCTGGGATCATGACCTGAGCCAGAGGCAGATGCTTAACCTGAAGACTGAGCCACCTAGGCTCCCCTTATTCCATTCTTAATCCTTTAGCAGTTCTCCAGTAAGCTTCGTCTTGCCTTTGGCATGTGCAGCCCAGACTCAGGCAAGGATTCTTAGAGAACTTCCACACCAGGACCTCTCTGCACAGATCTCTTTTCTCTGGGGCCTTCCACCACAGATGTCAACTACTTAAACTCTAATCTCTGCTTCCTTAGTGGACTGCTATCCTCTGCTTGGGCTGTTTCCTTTCTTGGAGTACCTTTTCCTCAACCTTACCCTTGCCCTGCTTGGACTTTAGCTCAAAGCACCATAATTAATAAATGTTGCCTGGCAGAGAGCTGAGGTGGTCACGGGGCTTACCTCATGTGTTTCCCTTCTCTCGGGAATCACAATGTTCTGCCTATTTAATGCCAGAAAAAGTTGCCTTACATATTTGTTCACTTGTGCAATAATTGATGGTGGGAAGGCTAGTTTAGTTCTAGTTATGTTGTCCTATCCAGAAGTCTAATTCTGAAGCCTTTTTAGTTTGGAAAGGGGATGTGTTCTTAAAAAGTGAAAATTTTACTTCTTTTTAGATGTTTTTTTTTTCCCATTCATCCAGACAACGATTATTTATTTCCCGTCTTCTATCTGCATTTGGCACAAAGCATACAAGCAGAAGGAGGCACAGTTTCTTTCCTCAAGGAGCATACTTTCTTAGTGGATTAAGAGGCCAGCAAACAGGAAGTTCAAGTCTGGTTCTTTTCTCTTTTTTTAAAATAAACTTGTATTGAAGCATAACACACATTCATATCATACGGCACCCTACCTCCTCAATTTGGTAACTTGTTATATAAGGAAAAATAAATTAATCCACCTTTTCCAAAGGAGAGGCTTTTGGTAGTAGATGTAAGCTCTAAGTACACTTTTCTGAACCATTGTTTCTTAATTATTAACCATTAAATTTGCTTTATATTTAAATAATTAGTGAGAGCTATAAAAATGCTGTTTATCTGCTCATGTATTGGTTTCACTGTTTTGCCATTGGGAAATGTTTTCACTAGAGATGCAGATATCATATATCTTAATGTATTTATGATGTTAAAAACAATTTTTCTGTCTCTCTACTATAGTGTATTTAATAATCAAAACAAATTTTTTCGACTTTCATTTTTATAAGGTCAGCCTAACTCATGAAAAACAAACATCTTTACCCTGCTTCAGATATCACTGCTGACAGCCTGATAATCTTCAACTCAGGGTCTGGCAATAGAATGATTTTGCCAGCAATCACTGATAATGATGTATGAATTTGATATGAAACAGATTTTCTTCCTTTTCTCTTATGACCTCCACCCCAAATTAGATTGATTTTAAATTGATTATAGAAAAAATAGCTTGAAAAGCTGTTGTGTTTTTCTTTGGTAAAATGCCCTTGAACGTTAACTTAGAAATAAGATATGTTAAACTTCTATTACAGCGGTGCTATCTCAACCGTGGTGGTTTCTGAACCACCACATTTCTGAAACCTCCCTGAATAAGAGAATTCTTTTTTTTTAATTTATTATTATTTTTTAAGATTTTATTTATTCATTTGACAGAGAGAGACACAGCAAGAGAGGGAACACAAGCAGGGGGAGTGGGAGAGGGAGGAGCAGGCTCCACGCAGAGCAGGGAGCCTGATGCGGGACTCAATCCCAGGACCCTGGGATCATAACCTGAGCCGAAGGCAGTTGCTTAACCGACTGAGCCACCCAGGCGCCCGAATAAGAGAATTCTTGACTATAGAACTTCTGACAGTCCTTATGGGGGAACTAAGCTTTGGTATAAATTCAATATACAAAATTAATAGAATATCAGTGACATTTATCTTTGATAATGAGTACATGTATCATTTCTTGTTTTCTACTTCTAAATATTTTATCTTTCCTATTGTTTTATGTATGCTAGCATTTTTCATGTGTGGCCCTTCATTTAAAAGTCTAGTGCCTTTCTAATTTTTGACTGAGAGTTGTTGATTTTCACTTCCTACCTGCAACTATAGTAGAAGGAATAAATATATAAAATAAATAAAATAAAAAATACTTGTTTTTCAAACCTCCTTTCTCATTACCAAGCACATGAAGTCAGACCTTCTTATACACATCTGTCCTCTTTCTAATAGATAACTGATATTTCCCCAAACTTATAATTCCAAAAGTCATCACAGTAACTCACACCTACATCATTCACAGTGTACCTGATTTGCTAATGGTGTATTTGTGTGTGTATTTACTTCAGTAAGTACTATATACCTTTGTTCTCGTGTTCTGTTTTTTTTCATTAACTCCTCCAGAACCAGTGCCACCTTCAATGCACAATTTTGTGGTAGATAACATTCTGGGAAGTTTGGTCCCACTTGTGTGTTGTATCAACTTAGTAACATCATACTTATGTTCTTCCTCACAAAGTAGGATTTACAAATTGTTATATTTACCTGACATCAGGCGACACCTATCTTGGGCTCATGTTAAATTAGATACGTAAAAGAAAGTAGAATAATTTGGTGAAATTCGTAAAAAGGGTAAGGGATTTTTAGGTATCTACGGGCATGCGAACTCTTCTTTAAAGGATCTATGTTAGCAGCATCTTGGGAGCTGTTAGTTTCAGTTACTGTAGTTAAGTCATATGCAGTTCTTTAATAATACCCTTTAGGTTACCTGGAGTCTCCTTTTCAAATAAGCAGAGTTTTACCATATTTTCATTGATTGATACAAAAACGTCATTTTAACAATGATTGTTGTCTATGATGGCAGAAAATATCTACAATGCAAAACTTGCAGTGTTGCTTTTTTGGGTCGTCAGTGACTATTGTCATTTGTGGTCAGATGGTAATAATAGAAACCTTTCAATCCTTTCGAGACTGTTTCTTCAGCCTGGTGCTGTTTCTTCTGACTTATTCAAACTTGTCTCTCTCCCAATTGCATTTTTAACACCACAGAAACATTGTCTTCATTAGCAGAGGGAATAAGTGTTTGCCTCTTGTTTCCATTTCGTCTGTATCTTTTGCAGTCAAATGCTCTACCCCTGAGCTATACCCCCTCGTCTGTATCTTTTGAATAGGATTGAAAATAATTTTGAACAGATAGGATAGTATATGTTAATAGGTCTGGGCTAAGACAATTGTGATGAATGTTTTGGGATTGCATAGGGAATATGTGTTTTGATTTCTTGATAGGAATGATCAGAGCATTGTGAGTTCCAGGGTGAATAAGTGAGGAGAACATCTCCAAAGTGTCCATTGCTGCAAACATGCCTTTGTACTGACAATAATTGTTTTGACTGCTGTATTGCAGCTGTTGAAAATGGACAGATAGATGTGTTAAGGCTGTTGCTTCGACATGGAGCAAATGTTAATGGATCCCATTCTATGTGTGGATGGAACGCTTTGCACCAGGCTACTTTTCAGGTAACCTCTGAATTTATTATTTCATTTCCATGTAAATTATGTGTTTTACCCTTTTAAAATGACAGTTCTATACAGTTTTTGCTTCCTAGTTGCCTGTGATTTATGATGGTTAGTGCAGTACAGAAAAGGCAGTCTAAATGCTAATGATCATTCTGAATAAGCCAGCTGCTCTGGTAGTTCCAGCAGCTTTGGGCTTCAGGGTTTATCTAAGTTTTTCATATGTTGATAGCAGAGTTAAGAGACCATCAGAATATTTGGGATATGAATTGATAAGGAGCAGTGGCTTATTTTATTTATAGCAGTGTGTTTAGAAACTGGTAACTCCTTAGTGCTTGGGCTAGCAAACTAGTTTGCAGGCTTTAAAAGGATTATGATTCTTAGAGATCAGTGTTTCATCTGTTTATGTTTAATGGGCTAGCTAAAGGTATAGAATAATCTGATTGTTTAATACTTCCTTCTCATTGAACAGTACACTTAAAAAAGTTTTCCTTTAGTGAGGTTGAAAAAACCCCAAAATACAACAATAAGAAAAGAGATACCTTCTATTGTCTTTGTTTTCTCCTATTTAAAATGTGAATCTGTGCTTTAGGAAAATGCTGAGATCATAAAATTGCTTCTTAAAAAAGGGGCAAACAAGGAATGCCAGGATGACTTTGGAATCACACCTTTATTTGTGGCTGCTCAGTATGGCAAGCTAGAAAGCTTGAACATACTTATTTCATCAGGTAAGATTAATCCATTAGCCTTTGCACTGTTAAGATCTTGAGTTTTAACTGTATTATCTTCCTAGGAAGTATAATTCTTGACCAGATATAAATCAGGTTGTGAAATTTATGGTTTTATGTTAGTGGTAAATAAGAGTACATGCAAGTTGATTTATAAGCCTGGTTACTAACTGTCTATTACTAACGTAGTGTGATGCACAGCTACTAATATATCTGAAGAGGAACATAATGATCTATCACTAAAGCAGTTTTATTGGCAAGTTGAATGATGGGTCTGTTCTTGCTTATGGGGACCTGAACAGTTCCAACTTTCTAGGGCAAGAGACTATATAAGCTTAATTAATTTATTAGATAGCTATTTTGTATATTAAGCCTTTGAGTTGTATGTTTTGATAAATTGTGTGATTATTTATTTATTTATTTATTTTTAAAGATTTTATTTATTTATTTGAGAGAGAGAATGAGAGAGAGAGCACATGAGAGGGGGGAGAGTCAGAGGGAGAAGCAGACTCCCTGCTGAGCAGGGAGCCTGATGTGGGACTCAATCCTGGGACTCCAGGATCATGACCTGAGCTGAAGGCAGTCGCCCAACCAACTGAGCCACCCAGGCACCCTTGTGTGATTATTTAAATAGGTTTATTTGAAAGCATGTTTACACTTTATTATGTTAATAGCAACATAAACCTGCTAAAGGTTTCTCTGTGACAATTATTATACATTCAGCATTTCTGGAGAAGATGGTGTTGAGGTGACATTCTTATGCTGTGTGACATTTCTGTGACCAGAAATGCTTGTTATATAAGGGCTTTTAAATTCCTCCAAACACTGTGTATGGACTCACAGTACTAACCTGATGAAGCATGGATAGTTAAGAGCCAAAGGGAAATATATCAGATTGCCACCAGGTAAAAAAAAAAAATTTTTTTAAATACCTAGGCTTTTTATTTATGTCTATAATACTTAGGTTTTTAATAAATTACCTCCAGGAGGCACCTGGGTGACTCAGTTGGTTAAGCGTCTTGACTTGATCTCAGCTCACGTCTTGATCTCAGGGTCATGAGCCCAAGATAGGTGTTGCAGATGTGGAGCCTACTTAAAAAAAAAAAAGTTACCTCCAAGTATACAAAACAAAGTTTATTTAGACAGCAAAGCATATATTTTCTTATTTCTGCTTTCTCCTTACAAACCTTCAAATGCTCAAGTTGAAGTATGTAGCAAAGAAAATATTAAGTGCCAAATTAAGATATCTGTTACAAATATTGAGTCTGTAAATCTTAGAGTTGAGAGGAAATCTCCAAAATCACTTATTTAAACATGTATTTTTTTAGATTGAGAATCCCAGGCCCTGAGTGTTTAAGTGCCTTGCCAAAGGTCTAGAAAATATTTACTGGCAGAATCAGGGCTTTGAAGCAGGTCTTCTCATGTATGACCTCTCTTGCTCTTTTATGTTGTACCTTCCTGAGGCTGTCCTAATTCATCTTATGGCTTCCAGTCCTGTAAGTTCCAGTTATTAGTGTGTAACTAATATTTAGAGTAAAATGGGTTATGGGGCCGCCTGGGTGGCTCAGTTGGTTATGTGTCTGCCTTTGGCTCATGTCATGATCCCAGGGTTCTGGGATTGAGCCCTGCGTCAGGCTCCTTGCTTGGTGGGGAGCCTGCTTCTCCCTCTCCCTCTGCCTGCCGCTCTGCCTACCTGTGCTCTCTCTCTGTCAAATAAATAAAATCTTTAAAAAAAAAAAAGAATAAAATGGATTAAACTGCACCTTAATGACTATTTCCTCATGCCTAGTCTCCCAGAATGCTAGGCACCTGTTTTGTTTTGCTTTGTTCCTTTTTTCCCCTCTCCTCTCTGAAGTTATGAACAGCAAATTGGAAAGGTATGTAGCTATGTTTATAATGTAGCTATGTATGTTTCTAACTTATTAAAATGATTTTCCTTTCAGTGAATTATCTTGTCATTTTTCTGATTTCTCTACCTGTAATTTTATGGGGCCTGGTTCCTTATTCTTTTTGATACTTTGAAATTATCAATCAAAATGAAATACTGCTTAAAAAGGAAAGTTAAGTAGATTTCTTTTCTTGACTTAGTCTTTTCTCAGTAATTAGTGTTCCCTTCTTTCTGAGGCTGACTGTAGATGAAGCATCCACCTTGTATAAGTCAAGAACATTCTACTTGCCTGGATGTGTTGAGTGTCCAGTTGGAGTTTCTGAAGTTCCATGCACCCTTACTATTAACTTACTATTTGTGTTTTGCTTAAGTTTTTGCCTAAGTCGGGGCTATGGTTTATTCCAGGTGCATTTATGGAACATCCTTTCAAAGAGGTAGTTTTTTTCCTTGTGATGAAGATGACTTTTCCACTGAGACATATTCCAGAAATTTAAACATTCTTACAGTTATGTAGTAACACCATACTTAGCATACTTAACACACTATTTGTCAATGAGAAAAATTGGGGGATATTTTAAAACCTTCACAAAAAGTGAGGTCACTTTCCGCTTCTTTACATCTTGATGCGCTGGAATTTAAATAATTGATTAGTTTTTGTTCTTTAAAAAAAATCAGCTCAGAAACCCATTTAAATAGACATTTTCCCTTTCATTATAAGGTTTTATCGTGCAGTGGTCCTGAAGAAAAGGGACTTAATGAAGAGTATGGTCAACATTAGCTTTTTTTTTTAAAAGATTTTATTTATTTATTTGTCAGAGAGAGAGAGAGCGCGCGCAAGCAGGGGGAGCGGCAGACAGAGGGAGAACCAGGCACCACTGAACAAGGAGCCCAATGAAGAACTCGATCCCAGGGCGCTGAGATCATGACCTGAGCTGAAGGCAGACACTTAACAGACCGAGCCACCCAGGCATCCCTAGTTTTTTTTTTCATAAATCTCAGCCTGAATTGATTAATGGCATCTATAAATTCTTATGATTTAGGTTTTTCTTATATTTTTCTGTAATAATCAGACATTCCATATTTGTTGGTTTGCATTTTTCATTTTTCAGTGATTACTTATTGGGCCCACAGAGTGCTTGCTAGAGGACAGATTGGAATGAAATGAATCCTTCATTGAATAAGATTTTTGTTTTAGCTTAAAAATGAATTCTAAGGTACTAATCACTTGTTTCCTTGTTAACATAAAAGCGGAAACAATTTAAATGATTACCAACAAATGGGGAAAATCAGTATGTTTATACGACAATATCCACTGGGGTTGGAAAAACTATTGTACTATAAAGCCCTTTTAAGACAGCTGTTTTGAAATTTATGTTAATCATCACCTTTTTTTCCCCCATAAATTAGGATTGTCTGTTAAATGTTGTATTTTGTATTAGGTGCAAATGTCAATTGTCAAGCATTGGACAAAGCTACTCCCTTGTTCATTGCTGCTCAAGAGGGCCACACAGAATGTGTGGAGCTTTTGTTATCCAGTGGAGCAGATCCTGATCTTTACTGTAATGAGGACACTTGGCAGTTACCTATTCATGCAGCTGCACAAATGGGCCATACAAAGTAAGTATTAAAACAGAAAATAAAAATAGTCTCATAATCAAAAAGTAATAAGGAATAAATCTTCTGGCCCAGACCCTTCATCTCTAGGCAGAATCCTTGGTATTCCCTTCTTTGCCAACCTACTATATGACTAGATCCATTCCCATATCTGTCCCGTGCCATCCTGAGCTCCTCTTAGTCTTGCACTTTCCTCGTGTGAGCAGAGTGGCTAGAGACAGAATTCTGGGGCATCCTCAGGGTGTTAAAGTCTTTCCTCTGATTTCTCAAGTTGTGGCCATGCTCTTCTGCTCGGCTCTGGTTTTATCCCAGGTGTCTTTAGTTAGCGATCTGATGACCTTATTCAACTTATTTATGATACCTCCCTGACCCCAGAAAGCTTTTGAATTTGTGACTCCTTTTGGGTCGAGTCTTTCTTTTGTGTGGGCTGGGTAGTTCTCCCCGTCTTGAACCCTTTGACTAGACTTCTCTTTATCTAATCTCAAGTCCAGCTTGGTACTTTTCTCTGCTTGTTACTCTTCTTCCTTAGCCAAAAGTTCTTATGAAATATTTGCTATTTTCTGGAGAGAGGAAGACTTAGAGAAAGTTGGAACTCCCTGAAATTGGGGCTTCCAGGAATCTTAGAAGCTAATAACCTGGTTATACCTATGAGAATATGGTAGCCCATCTTAACATAAATTGGCAATGAATAGTATTAAAAAATATACGTTTAAAGTCTTTAGAGTTGTAATTCTAAAATAATAGTTTTATAGTTGTTGTTACTATTACTTAATTTAAAAAGTAGTATTGAAATTGCCATTACTTTAGTGTGATTACATGGTAGGAAAACAAATTCTGTAATTTGGTCATTATGCCACTAGGTGGCATGGTATTTTACTATTTCCTCAAAGATATTTTATGTATTTTTGCATCTTTTATAATTTTTCCAACCCATTTTTAAAAGTTAAACATATTTATTAAGGGACATTAAACAGGTTATTTATTTTAACAGAATACTTAGGTTTTAAGATCTGGAATTTTTCTTAAAATTCTTTTTTTTTTTTTTAAAGATTTTATTTATTTATTTGACAGAGAGAGACACCGCGAGAGAGGGAACACAAGCAGGGGGAGTGGGAGAGGGAGAAGCAGGCGCCCTTAAAATTCTTGATTGTGTATTTAAACATAAGTGTTAGGTACAGTTATACTGGGAGCAGGGCGCCTGGGTGGCTCATTTGGTTAAGCGGCTGCCTTCAGCTCAGGTCATGATCCCAGGGTCCTGGGATCGAGTCCCGCATTGGGCTCCCTTCTCAGTGGGGAGCCTGCCTCTCCCTCTCTCTCTGTCCCTCCCCCTGCTTGTGCACTCTCTCTCTCTCTCTCTCAAATAAATAATAAAATAAAATAAAAAAACCACAATTATACTGGGAGCTTTAAATTGATACCAAAACCCTATTGGGATTTGTCCTCAATTTTGGGAATTCTGTTTGTCATTACAATTTCCTCCATAGACTACTTCTAATGTAACCCTTTCTGTGAGTTTAAGTTCTACTTAAATGTTAACATCTTAAGCCTACCTTACAAAAGGAAAGTAGCTTTGGAGTAGCCCTGCCTTTCTTTTCCCAGAAAGAGGGGGGATTTCATGGCTGGCCTTATCTCTACAGTTTTATTTTTAATTTTAGAAGAATAGACTAGTTCTTTCTTTCCAGCTGAATCTGGAGGTAAGTTTACAAATAATCTAAGAACTTAGGTTTTAATGATTTTCTTTAGAAGTTCCTCTACTTAGCAACCAGTTTCTTTATAAATCTGCCTTAGTGTTTAAAGAGCTTATATTCTTTTCAGAGAATAGAATATTTTAGCAGAAATTCTTATTTCTTCGGGCACCTGGATGGCTCAGTCGGTTAAGCATCTGCTTTTGGCTCAGGTCATGATCTTAGGGTCCTGGGATGGAGCTCCACATTGGGCTCCCTGTTAGCAGGGTGTCTGCTTCTCCCTCTCCTTCTGCTCCTCTTCCTCCCCTTGCTTGTGCCCAATCCCTCCTCCCCACCTTGCTTGCTCATTTGCTTGTTCTCTCTCTCAAATAAATAAAATCTTAAAAATAAAAAAAAAGAAATTCTTGGGGCACCTAGGTGTCTCAGTCATTAAGCATCTGCCTTCGGCTCAGGTCATGATTTCAGGGTCCTGGGATCAAGCCCCGCATCGGGCTGCCTGCTCAGCGGGAAGTCTGCTTCTCCCTCTTCCTCTGCTTCTCCCCCTGCTTGTGCTCTCTCTGTCAAATAAATAAATAAAATCTTTTAAAAAAGAAAAGAAATTCTTATTTCTTTGTCATGAAAATACTATTCATTTCATGACACTCACCATCCTTAAAAATTCTTAATAATTAGAAAAATAAGACTTCAGTTTATTAAAAAAAGGGAAGTTTATTTAAAAAAAGAGAAATTATTTATTTTCTTGATATAAGTTTATATCTGGTGTAATGAAGTTTTAAATTGTTAGATGCTAAAATATCTAACAGAAAATTTGAATTGGGGGGGAGTAGGGTGATGGGGTGGCAAAGTAAATAGTGAAAAAATAAGGGGCGCCTGGGTGGCTCAGTTGGTTAAGCGACTGCCTTCGGCTCAGGTCATGATCCTGGAGTCCCTGGATCGAGTCCCGCATCGGGCTCCCTGCTCGGCAGGGAGTCTGCTTCTCCCTCTCCCACTCCCCCTGCTTGTGTTCCCTCTCTCACTGTGTCTTTCTCTGTCAAATAAATAAATAAAATCTTAAAAAAAAAGAAAAGAAAAAAAAGAAAAAATAAGGATAACCTGTTCCCTATTTACTTATGGTCATATTATTTAAGTCTGTTTTAGATATATAGTAAGGACCTTTGTATAAAGCAACAATAGTAAGGGTAACATTTTGGAGTGTACAGCCTGTAATAATTTAATGTAGGTAGAAGACAGAAAGACTTTAAATCAGTCAGGTGACTCTTAAAATATGTGCTGTAGAAATGTTGCCTGCACTCATGTACGTATAAAAACATTAAATGCTCCTGAATTTGTGTGGTTACAGAATCTTGGATTTGTTAATACCACTTACCAACCGGGTTTGTGACACTGGGCCAGACAAAGTGAGTCCCGTTTACTCAGCAGTGTTTGGAGGGCATGAAGAGTGCCTAGAAATGTTACTTCAGCATGGCTACAGCCCAGATGCCCAGATGTGCCTTGTCTTTGGATTCAGTTCTCCCATGTGTATGGCTTTCCAAAAGGAGTATGTATATTTGCTGTATTTTTATTCTTTTTTGCTATATGGAGATGTATTTCCAAGTGATTTCCTTTTATGGTGAGACTTATTATCTCATAGTGCTAAATTGTTGACTTAACAAATAACCCTCTATGATGTACCTTGTTCCATCAAAGTGCAGTAAAAATGAAGTGATAATGCAAGATTTTTTTCTCTTCTCTTTTTGGATCTGGATTATGTTTTCATTGTGGCCACTTTAGAGAATACTTTCAGTGTATTAAAGTAAACGCAGGGTGGGGCGCCTGGCTGGCTCAGTTGGTGGAACATGCAACTCTCCATCTCAGGGTTGTGGGTTTAAGCCTGACGTTGGGTGTAGAGACTACTTAAAAATAAAATATTAAAAAAAATAAAGTAAATGCAGGAGTTCTCTGCTAATTCTTGGTTTTCAAAACAATTCAAAAATTAAAACATTCAGTTATATGATGAATAAGGCCTGAGGATCTAATGTATAACATGATGACTATAGTTGATAACACTGTATTGTATAATTGAAATTTGCTAAAAAAAGAAAATGGTAAATATGCGATGTGATGAATGTGTTAATTCTGTGGGGGGAAATCCTTTCACAGTGTGTATATTTATGGGATTATGTTGTATATTTTTAAATAACTGAAAATCTTATTTGTCAATTATACTTTAGTAGAGCTGGGGGATGAAAAAAGAATTCAAAATGACTTTATCAAGTAAGGCATTGATTGTGTTTCAGGTATTTTACCATTTGAAATTTATAAGACTTGTTCTGAGCCTAAAAATGAAACTTTAGTTTTGTAAATATTATTGTACTTTTAATGTATTCAGTATGTGGCATTTCTTTATGTGAGTCAGAGTAATTAAAAAGTCTTAAAATATTTGTTCTGCTAATCTTCTATGATCCTGTGAAGTAGAATAAATGAAGAATTACTGCTGTTTTATTAGCTTCTGGCCAGTCCTTGTCTGTAAGATTCCTAAGGTTTTTAAAATAGATAGTAAGAATAAGGCCATGTGCAAGAAAAACCATACTGAATAATATGTAGGGTCCATCCATCAATGGAATAAGTTGTGCAGATAGACACTCTTGTTTTTATTGATACAGAAGAGGTTGTAGGCATACCCTAAATGTCATTGGCTCTCTTGAATTCACTGTTATGGACAGCTCTCCACTATTTAATTGAAATATCTATCAAAAATTTATTTTCTAAGCTTTTCAGTTTACCATTTTTTAACATTTCTGTGTAAAATAGTAGTTCATTTTATTTATTCAGAATGCAAGCTTCCAAGTATATATTGTAGTCTGAATATTTGGGGATTTGGTGAATCTGAGTATCTGGGACCTACTCGATGCATTACTTCCATGATTTCATAGTAGTTTGTTGTGTACTCCTTCAAGTTTTTTTTCTAAACACTTCTAGTTTTTCTTCAGTAAGGCTGCATTGATGACTTTCGTTGTTTCAGTTGTCTTTCTTTATATGTATCTAACTCTATTATATTTTATTATTAGGTCAGAATTGAACTTTTAAAAATATTATATTAGAACATAGTGGTTTTAGATAGTTTGTATATGTGTTTGTCCAATATGATAGTCTTTTCTGGCCTTCGTTTTATCTTTTGGAGGAAGAGCAGCTAAGCTCATGCCTCATCAGCTTCTAAGTATAGTTTGAATTAAACCATATGACACTGTGCCCTGTTAACCCTGAAACACCTTAAAATTAAGTTTTTAGGGCCTGAAGAATCAGGTAAATTGAACCTTATGGGACAGAGAGTGTGAGGGGAATTCTGGAGAAGAGATAGCTGGAAGAGGGCACCCTCTAATTCTCTCTATGCATGTGCATACGTCCCAAGGTCACTCCAAGCTTTGAGTGACAGGCTCAGATTGCTGAAAACAAAATTTAAACTGTCACCCAAGTCTCAGAGTAAGCCCTGAGTGGCACATTTGATGGAACCAGACCCAAAATAGCCAACAAAGTCTTTAAGAACTGAATTGACATTGCAACTACAGCCTGTAGAAGGTGAAACAGAAATTGCAGTCTGAACTAACTAGGTTATATGCCTGCTAAAAAAAAAAAAACAAGCAAAATTCAGTATTCTTCAAAGGATTAATACAGGACACAGGATACAGAACCTACACAACAATCACATCACAACATCTAGGATATCATCTAAAATTACTTGACATGTGAGGAACAGTAAACTATGCCCAGTTCTCAAGGGAAAAGAATTAACAGGTGTCAAACCCGAGATAATTCTGCTTTTGGAAGTATCAGGTAATTGAAAGCAGCTATTTAAGGTAAACACACTTGCAATAAATGGAAAGGTAGAAATTCTCAATAAAAACTGTAAAGGAGGAACCACATGGAGATTTTATAACTGGAAAATATAGTATCTGAAATGAAAATTTCTCTGCGTGGGCTCCGTAGCAGAATGGAACTGACAGAGGAAGGAGTCCGTTAACTTGAAGATAAACCAATAGAAATTATCCAAAGAGAAGAACAGAGAGAAAAGATTGGGGGAAATAAAAAAGGACGGAGCCTCAGTGTCCTGAGGGACAGTATCAACACGTTGACATTCATGTCATTAGAGTCCAGAAGGAGAGGAGAAGGAGATTGTTGCACGAAAATTATGTGAACTCATAATGGCCAAAAGCTTCCCAACATTGGATAAAAGATACACATTTATAGATTTAGGAAGTTCAGTGAACTGATACAGGATAAAGCCCCCCCCCAAAAAAGCATGCTCAAAAATAATCAAACTGCTGAAAACTGAAAGTAAAGAAGCAGCAGTGTGCTGTACGGTGGTCCTTGGTCACAGACTTGAGCTACTCTTGGAAATTTTGCTCTGGGAAGTGACCCTATAGATCACAATTGAAATCTGGTTTGGTGGCTTTAAAAGGGCTTATCAGCTTTTTTTTCTCCCTTGTGGGAACTTGTAATTGGACCAAATGTGTTCTTAATTAGTAAGGTAAGTTTTTTTAGTGAGAAAAGTCATTGGAAGATTTTACTTGTTAGCCTATAGGGGAAAAGCTTAAAACATCAAAATACCTGTTTTACGAGGGTACATTCTCCTACTCTTTGTACTTGACTTTTGTTTGTTTGCCAGGGACCCATGGCAATAGACTTAATTTTGAGACATCTTTGCTGTTACTACCTACTTTGTGGGTAATTTAAATGAAGGGGAAACCTTTTGCAAGGGACTAAATCTAAGCGATGGTGCTCACATTTAATGTGTGTATATAAAGGAGTTGACTTAAGTATAGTACATTGTACAATTTTTGGCACATAGTAAAGAAACACCAAGGTTAATTTTCTTCTCCCTGCCATCTTCCTTTTATCTAGAAAACAATATCAATTAAATTTTAATCTCTGTACTACATTTATATTAGCTAATTAATGTCTGCTATTAGTTTACATGTCAGTCACTGTTCATGCAATGTGAGAACCATTTGATTATTTTGGAATTCCATAAAAGCTTTGCTGATCAAGCAAGAAAAGTGTCATTCTCCCAATAGGTTTTGTTTTAGTATATCAAGAGAGTAACATAGCCAAGTGTCTGGGGGGAAAAAGTCAATAAGAAGAATTTGTTAATTTTTTGTTGTTTCTTTCAGTAAGTATGCATTTTAAAATTTGGATTCTCAGGGGCACCTGGCTGGCTCAGTTGGAAGAGGGTGTTACTCTTGATCCTCGGGGTCGTGAGCTCAAGCCCCACATTGGGTGTAGAGATTACTTAAAAATAAAATCTTAAAAAAAAAAAAAAAGATTTGGATCTCTATAGTCACACACTTAAAAATTAAATTAATTAAAATTGCCATTTAAAAAGCAAGGATAATTGAATATAACTTTCATTTAAAAATAACTATTATGTGGTTTTGTTCCATAATGAAACAGTATGTGAATTTCCCTTACTCCCATTTACCAACTATTAATAAGAATTTGAGGTCATTTGGAAGACTGTTTTCTGAAATTAATTATTATTAGATATTAAAATTTTCAGAGATTTGGTAAGAGATAATGAGATAGGTTTAGTAGTGTAAGTTTTGAAATTTTATTTTTATAGCAACCATATGTTCTTATAATAATGTTAGTTTGATTTTTGCATTTGTGTGTTTTTTGGTAGTTTTGGCATTTCTCTGAGATCTAGAAATTTAGTATTTGTGGCCCTTCTTGCACTTTTGGCCTATTGTGTTTCAGTAAACTTTTGTCTGCTTTTATGAATGGTATAATGAATATCGAAAGGTGATGAAAATAATAAATATAAATAATGGCTCTGGGTTTTAAGTTTTCCCTTCTTTATTGTTTTATGTTTTATCCAGCCACGTTAACTTTTTAGCTCAGGATTCTAAAACATTTTTGTTCTGTATCCCTTTGAGAGGATAAGCTTCCATTTGAAGCAGTGATCTTTAGCTCTTCTCACCACTACGAGGAATGATGGAAAGGTGTCTCCTCTGCCACTGTACAAAAAGCAGTCTTGTCCTTTGGGGCTAAAAAGTTAACAGCTGCAGTGACATGAAAGCATCTTTCAAAAGCACAGTTAAGTAATTCAACTCAAATGAGAAAATATAAGAAAAAGACTCCTTTAACTGGAATGGGTGAAGGAGGAGGGAAGCTGACACATTTCAGTACAGTTTGAACAAACGTTACTGCCTTTTATAGATGACAGTAGAACACGATCATGGCTTAACTGACTTGATTTTGTCTTTCTAATTGATACTGATCATTGTTATCGCATAGTTTTATAGAAATCATGTCCACTCTCATCATCATATCACACATGGGTACACCTGACAGGACCTAATGTCTTCATTTGGTTTTCAACTGTTAGCTGAGAGCCATTCAGTAAAATTTACTATATGACCTTTTGATAACTCAGCTAATAAGTTGGTTAGATATTTTGTTGGCTCATTGGACATAAAATACTCAAGATGTTTGCCTGTTTCTTTTTCCTTTTTTTTTTTTTTAAGATTTAATTTATTTATTTGACAAAGAGTGACACAGCGA